ATTTTGCCTGCTACAAATCCCGCTACAAAATGTCAAATGCCACCTAAAATATAATAATTTTGAGCACCCGAATCGATGTTTCGTTCAAGTTATAAATGGTTGTAATAAAACAAATTCTTAATTCAGATCAAAATTCAAAGCTTGCGTAATTTGATTATGAACATAAATGATATTTTATAAGTAAAAATTCCAAGATAAAAAAATCGGCATGTGACCAATAAATATGCCTTCTGAAAAACAATCCAGCCAAACTCGTTAAAGGGACACTGACAGGGTATACATGCTCGCCGAGGTTTTTATTTAGATATGACCTACAAGAGACCGACTACCGATAACACAATTTGCAACTCGAAATTCGTTTGCTTTTCACCCGAAAACAGCCGGTCAAGAATTGGCCAGTTTCAGTCGCGCTGACTCTCTTCTCCATGGTCATGTGACGTTCTAACTAAAACATACCAAATATATTCAGTCATGGGTCATCTAAGGCACACATTCAATATTAAAAGTAGAAAAGAATATGGACCCCATTTTTGTGGCCTCCAAGAAGTTGCAAATACGTTGATAAAAAAAAACAAGTTGCGCAAATCACAGGAAGTACATATACACGTCATTCTCAATATGGCGATGTACCGCAGACCAAATGACGCGATGGCGGCGCACGAGGGACCAACGTTGCAACGGGTGTGGGACCTCCACTTCGGAACTGTGGTTCGTGGTACAAGCCAAGGACAGCAAGGGGGATATAAGTGTGAAACAATCGCATAAAACACGGTTCACGCAACGTCCTTGTCGTCTGCTTTTGCATTCGAAAAGCGGTGGAACGGAAAACAAATGGCCAGGGAGCGACAGCGCCCTGACTTTCGGCAACTCCCTCCTCCGAACCTCCGTGTACACATTTCGGTTACGAGCAGTTGAGTGTTTTGGCTTTATCAAAAATATATGTGACTCTCTGTAGCAAAATATTCATTGGGTAGTCACTTAACGCTATAATAAATTGCCTGGCAAAAATGATAAAATATATTTTGGGGGGTGTCAGTGTCTGTTCAAGGTTATTTCGAAGCTTTCACCCACTGCTCCAGTCAATTTAGTTTTAATTGACTTTCTTCATGGTGCCAATGAACCGATAAAACATGCCATAAAGGTGAAAACCTAACAACGAAGTTGACATTAGAAAGAAAAAAAATGGATAGACGAGCTAATATAAACATCGCAATACGCAAGTAAAATTGCTAACACTACAGTTTCAAAAAGATGTCATAATATCGGAGTCTAACATATATACTATAAACATTTTTATTCAGAAATGTTTACTGCAAGCTCGAGTTATTATATTAGCACTCAACAAGTTACTTTTTCTTTTTAAATATACCCGGTGCCTGTGTTGTAATGCCCTGTTCTGAAGGAGAGCTTTGCCCCTAGTACCACTGACACACTGGCACCATTTATGTGATGACCCTGGAAATGCATTTCACTGGAGCGATGATTTTGCGGTATTTGCGAGGTCAAATGTGCATACTACTTGTGACAAATGCTTGTTTATATGTAGGGTTCCGCGTTTTTGGTTTTTATTTTTTCAAAATTCGGCGTACTTTTTTCGGTGTTTATTTTAAAATTCAATTTTCGTTTTTTTCGGTGTATATTTATGGCCACGAAAGTTTACCGGTTTTTTTCGGTGAATATGAAGTAAACACTAGCCGACACAGGATCAGATGATCCTTGTAGCTCTGATATTTGTGATCGCTCGAAGAATAACGCACAGATACATACGTGGTCTTCGCTACAAATTTCGTCAGGCCACACTTCAAAATCGCGGAATTCGCAAACATAATCTTAAGCGCGCTCCTTTTTCCTTCCCATTCTGACGACGTGACCGTCTCAGGTGATGACCGTACAGGAACCAGCGGAATGGCAAAAAAAATCCATTGTATCTATGTTCTGACCCAGAGGGTAGTTTGAAAGAGGGTGTTGAGAAAAGTATTAACGGCTTTCCTTGATGTCCTCTGAAGTGTATAAAGTGAAAAATCTTGTACTAGCCCACATCCAAACATTTTTTTTTTTTAGGACCGGGAGCTTGACACACTAAGCCCGATCACAGAAAGGACACAGATGCCCCGCGAAGGCTAATCCAAGACCTCTTTTGTTGCATGCTGAACCTCGGAAGAGAGCAATCACAAACAGGTCACATGTCAAATCTTGCAAAGCCCCCTCTCTCTCTCTCTCTCTCTCCCCCCCCCCCCCTCCCCACCCTCCCCCCGGCCACCTCGACACGGCCCTAAAAAAGTGACCTTTTGCGGTTAAAACCGAATTTTAGAAAATGGATTAGACAGACTTTGATCGGTTTAACCAAAAACGCTGAACCTACGAACTGACTTTTTTCGGTTAAAACCGAATTTCCGAAAATGGATTCAGTGTACTTTTATCGGTTTTTATCGGCTTAAACCGAAAACTCCGAACCCTATTTATATGACATTGACAAAGCTTTCCAAGCCAAAAAGAAATTAATGATGCACGGAAGAAATAGGAAGTATACGAGACCGCCAAGTGTTCCACTGCTGCTCGATAGGTGGGGCCAGTGAGTTCTCTCGTCGTGAGAGATTTTAAGAGGTTTCAAGGCACTCGGTCTTAAAAAGTTGCAAGTGCTTGAGCAGGCCTTCGGCGGTTGTCGCTTCACTGCAATACACCAGTGCGCAAAGAGAAGCGTGCTCAACAAAGCTAACTAAAGGGCTGTCCAAACAGTACACAGTTCACAGGAGTAGCGTGTTTCCTCACAGCAGATAAAGTGTTTTCTAAATTCTCGGCGTGTGACATACTCCGGTCCGCTTTCATATGTTTTTCTTGCCGGGGGGAAAGCTTCCCTCCGGTTACGTCCTTGGACAGAGGCTTCGAGCGTGCTCATCAAAGGGTCTGGACAGCCACTCACACGCTCTGCTGGCTGTCGTAAAGGCCCTCATTGTTGTTACCAGTCTCTAATCTCACGAAAACAAGAAAGGAAAAAGAGCTAACGAGGAGGAAAGCCGTGCTGTTTACGTGGTTGATGTCTCAACCGAAAATGGACGCACTCGCAGCAACTTTCACGGCATAGGCGGATGCTGTGTTGCGGCACGGCATCTGGTGTATCTTGTTGGGACACCCTTTAATCCGCCAGAGCGTTCCACAGGCATAAAAAATATTATGAAGCCTCCGAGTACCGTCAGCATCAGATAGAGAGATCAAATCGAATAATACGCTAGTTGAGGCGTTGATTGAAAGCTCTGAAAATCCACACAAGCCTAACGTATCGATCCGATTGAGTAAAGGAACCTGAGCTAAGATAAAGTTCAATTTTAATAAAGTGCAATTACGTTTTGGTGCAATGTTTCTGCAAATTTTTCACATTCTGGCAAGATGAAGCAGGGTAAGCACTTTGGCTCAGTTTGGCACAAATGGCGCAGTAGTCACATAATTTATTTAGTTGCCCATAAAAGCTCCAAACACTGAAACAAGAGCCATTTTTCTTTCTTTCTTGTCTATTGCATCACCTACTTTTCAAAAAAGGCTGATTGATGGACATGGTACCGCAAACACTTGTGGATTGTTATTTTATGTATGAAGTCAAACGTAAACCAAATAGCAACACACTGAAATAATGCTAGAACAGGCTAATTTGATTAGTTATTAGGTGAAGTAAAGTGGTGCAATTCATAATTCAAATAAAAAGTCTTTTTCATTTAACTATACATGTTAGCAGCAGGTTACATGTAAAATTTTGAGATGATGCAAAATTAGCATGTTGGTATAACCATACCTTATTAAGTAGCTAAAGTTCATACAGTTTTATTGTAAACTTTATTGACTATGTCCTACACTACATCTACACTTTGCACGATATTTAGAAATCCTATTCTTTCTCGAATTTCGAATTAATAGTACCTCTGATCATGTAACAATACGTACAACTCATCAGGATATACCACCCTATATTACATACTCTCCATGGTTTTATTTCGAGATTTTTATAGCAAGGTAGAGTTGTCACATTCAGGTTTGCCAAGACCATTGTGCCCGACACGTGTTTGGGCATTATACCACATTGGAGGAGTGCTTTTCCCTAAAGCATGTGGGTGCGCTGTGGAAAAGCAGGATACAAAGAGACGTGACGCCTACTTCCCGAATGTCACTTCTCTGCAGTGCATTACTCCACGGTGAGAAGCACACTCTATGGAGCTGACTAGCCCACCCAAACTGATAGCGAAAAATAGGAAATACTGTGGAACTTTCGAGTGCTAGCAATGTTCGAAACGAAGACCAAACTAAATAGTAAGTTATCTGAAGCAACAATAAAAAGTTTTGCGAATTTTCACAAGCCTACCGCAACGATCTGACAGTGGAGTGGGATTCGAGCTAATAATATCAGTAATGAGAAATTGAAGCTAACTTTTGGTACAGAGTTTGCACAGGTTGTTAATTTTTGCGAAATGTAGCAAGATGACTCAGTGTGAGGACTTGGGCGCGGATGGCGCAGGCCCGAATGCGATTACGTAATTGTCAATGTAATATGTGATATTGATATTCGCTATCTTTATGCATTTTTGTTTCAAATGTTGTGAATATAGTATATAATATACCACTGTAATAATTATGATCTCAGCAAAAGTAGCAATAGTGCTCAAATAAAACCACCAAAATCAGTCTGTGTTCTAGTCGCACGTAAAAACAAAATTTGCATGCTCTCCTCATCTAAGAACTATTGGAAGAACAGTTACTTGATGTGGGGGACACATTGCACCACTGCGCTATTTATACATGGTCAACATCTTGCTCTGTGTACCTTCATGTCACGTGTAGTGCCATTCAGTTTCGAAGAAGTGGGACCATTTGAACCTTTCTTCAGATTATCTGGTTACCATGTTCATTTTGTCTAGGAGTTTTAGGAACATCATTAGCATATGCTAACTACTATGTATAAGTGCTTTTCCCCGGATTTCGGGAGCAGAAAAATTGTCATTTATCACTTCACTCACCTTGGTATTCCAGCCTGAAACCATGGGGCTTCCCTAAGCTCTTCTTCCTCATTGAGGTTTAGGGAGTCATGCCTAGGTGGGAGAGAAAAAAAGGGACTCACGGGCAAGCCCACAACATATGGGTACTTCAGAACGTCCACGACTGTACACAGACAGCAAAAAAAGCAGGCATGGCTGCCTGCTACTCCTCCTCGCCTCCTCCGCCCCCTTCTTCTCCTTCATCTCCTCATCCTCCCAGGGGTCACGTGACCCCCCCCCCCCCCCCCCCCGAGATCACGTGACCCCCGGACCTGGGGGTGTCGCTTGACCTGACCTGGGGGGGGGGGGGGGGGGGGGGGGGGGTCACGTGACCTCGCGGTTACGCCGACGGCGATGCCGCTCAAGCCAGAAACGGGCCCCTAAAAGCTGCGCTCTAAAAAGCAAAAAAAAAAAAAAAAAAAAATGACGTATCGTAACGTGAAAACGCGCTATCGTCTTGAGGGATGTCAGCTGGTCATTTCTCCGAGTTAAGCGTTATAGTGGGGCTATAAAGTCGATACAAAGAAGTGCCTTACAACTTGATTGTGTTAAATGGTTTGCCGCAGCGATATGAGAGGAAAATAAATACTCTGTGGCCACTTGACTTTATCCAATATTCGCCACCATTTCCGAAAATACTGATGCACTCCCGATTACCGCTGGGGCAAAGCGGCCCCGTTAAAAAGAAGTACGATGTAAAGGGGAATGAAAGGGCATCATGAAAGATTGTGTTAAAACTACTTTGAAAGTAATTTAAGTACTTATATTCAAGTACATTCAACCCGGTGTACATACTATTTGACTTGAAGTACATAACCTCTCATTTAGTTTGTACTTTACCTGAGGTACCTTTTAGATGTACGACTTTACCCAACACTGCTCAGACACAGCCCCCCCCCCCCCCCCCCCCCCCCCCTCACCCGCGGCCCCTTTCTACTTTTTTTTTTCGAAGCGCAGAGGGAGGGAGGTTTGCGAGTGACATCTGCAAAACCAAAAGCAATGCTTCCGACGCGTTTTGCGTGAGTCACCATCCTCGAAGACACGACGAGCCTGTCGTGCATCTTCCGACGTTCCAGAGGACGCGTCAATCGGAGGAGGCCTAGGAGTGTCCCCCGCGGCTGCACGCGTCGTGCTCGCACATCCGTGTGCCCGTCAACTGTCCCGGATCCGTCCGTCATCCTCGGGCCAGTCCGATCGCTACTCCCAGACCCCGCCGCCGCCGCCAGCGTCCGGCTCGTCTCCGGGACTACACCGTATCCAGCAGAACAAGAGGAGATGCACGCCGGACGGACGAGCGCGAAAACCGGGTGCGGCGTCATCCTTTGTCCGTGCGTTCCGGCCAGCGGCCCAGGATTCATCCCTCCCATTGTGCTTCGGCTCGTTTCCGGCCGTATATCACGCGCGGAGGACGGCAAGGCGTCCTAGCCCAAGAGCTAGGCTTGGGAGGTCCTCGTTGGTTCCTCCCTCGCGCCATTCGACGAAAGCCACACAAGTCAAAGGCGCATAAAAAGAAAAGCAACTGAAGAAAACTTTGCCCCCCCCCCCCCCCCTCACTCCTCCTCTCCCCTTACACACACTTCGTTGTTGCTTCGTTCCGTCGCCGATTATCGAAGCGTTTGAAAGAACGGCGTCACTCAGACTTTCGCCGGCGAGTCTGCATCGTTCGTTCGTGGAGTGGAAACGAAGCCGAGTTTCAAGCTTTTCCGTCGCTGACTCCTCTCTCCTCATTCACGCTTGTGTGGGTCGCTTCGCTCCCTCGACTGCCGCCAAACGACGGAGGCGTCAAAGAAAGCCACGGAGGCGGCTAACGCAAAGAAGCAAGAGCTCGTTCTTTTGTGCCTCGAAAGGCGTCGTCGTAGAAGAAACGTGTTTTTGCCCCTGCGAGAGCGATCATCCATGCACGTTCTGCGAGCTGGCGGGGTGCGCGTGTTGACGCGACGACGCGTGGATACATGCAAGCGTGCGCTTGGTTGACGGCCAATCGATCTCTACGGCTTGCTGCCGTGTCGAGTAGAAGACGTTTCGCCCCCCATGCACGAGAGTCACGAGTACTTCATCTTCTGGAACACATAAGTGCACTCGAAGCGTTGCGAAACCGTCAGCCCTTAGGAAAGGCAGTTTTAATTCGATGTGGCGTTAAACGATGCGGAGGAACTGTCTTTGAGTGCATAATATAAATTACGAGGAAAAAAAGAAGATAGCGATGAATGCCAATAACAATCAATCATCATTTCCGTTAAAAAAATGTGAGCATATCAAAAGGAATCTAAAGGATGGTGCATTGTGCTGATGGCCTCAGTCGAGGTTCGCAGATCCTGTTTCACGTTCTGTCGGCACTTGTGCCACCAACGCTGACACCAAATAACCGACGTAGGGGGTTTGGAATTGTCTGATCCATCTTATGATTACCTACATCTTGCCTGTTTCAATAGAGAGTTTTAGTAGATCGTTCCCATGGACTCCGATAACGATACCCGATACTCCGCCACCGCCTCCCTTGTGCATGCACAGTATCATTATCGGGGCTATCGGAGGTATCGGAACGATCTACTAAAACTCTCTATTAAATGCTACCATACCGTTGCGCGTTTGTGCAAACCTTTCATTTTCCCATAAACAAAAAGCGAGGATATTTGTTGATTAGGTATCTGCGTACGCTTTACGCCCGCCCCATATACCATTCAAGTAAAAAAATAAAGAGGCGACAAAAAATGAAAAACCTTTACAAATCTCTGTAATGCTGAATTAAATTAGAGCGCAGCTCTTGAGGATGAGGAGAGGAGGGTATGCCCCTCCTCCTCTCCCGCTTCCCTCCCATTTAGCGAGAAATTTTCGCTAAATTTCCCGCTAAATTTTAAGCGAGGAAATTTAGCGAAATTTTCCCACTAAATCTAGCGGGAAAACTGAATTGGTGTTGAGGTCACGTGACGTTAATTTCACTGCTAAATTTTGCGGAAAACTTTTCCCGCCAAGTTTAGCGGGGAAACGTCCCATAATTCAACGCACGGTTACGCCGGCGGCGACGCCCCTCAACCCGGAAACGGGCGCCTAAGAGCTGCGCTCTAAAATAAATATTGTGGCTTTACGTCACGAAGCAAGTCAGGCTATGATAGGGTGACCACCTTCCTGCTAGCGAAATGCGGGACACGCGGTACAGGGAGGGAGGGAGAGGGGGGGTTAGACGGTTAGAGGAAATTTGTGCACACGGACACCACGAACCGACGGTCTGTTAACACATTTAATATACTCTGCTCTTTATAGAGCTGGAAATTGTATTGCAGCTATTAAGCTGAAATAATTTTCACTCCCTGTGATATGTTTTTATGCCAAATATGTTATTTAATGAAAGCATACAATCCAGCTGCAGCAGAACTCAATGCATCAAGTGAAATTAAGAAACAGTAAATCTTTTTCAGATTATTGTTTCCTATCAACGCTTACTTTTATCAACATGGTCCTACACACATTTTTAACATTATGTCTTTTTCCACCTTTGTGAGTTGCAGGCTTTTTGCCTTGTGTGGTTGTCGTCACTGAAAAAATATCTCCACAACAACTTTTTTGCATTGAGACAACTATATGAAATAATTAGAATAGTTTATAGTTACCACATTTACTACACACAACTATTGGTGAGCATTTTTCTCAATATTTGGCCACCAAGGGAGGAGGCACAACGGCGCATGCGCGTCGGACTTCCTACAAGAACGACGGTGGCTTCCCGCAATGCTTAGATAGAAAATGGCGTACCACTCCGATTCACATGATTGCCAGCGACCTCCGCGCTTCGTGCCCCGTTGTTCGTTAGCACCATGAGTTGCAGAGTGAATTTTACGACGGTATGAAATGCGGGACATTTTGAAAATTCGGGGATTTCTCGCGGGACGCGAGCCCTTTATGCGGGCCCGCGAGTCGCGGGCCGGGTGGTCACCCTAGGCTATGAACAAAGCCCAGAGATTCCTCGAGAACGTGACAACCCAAGACGCCGTGCCTCTCTCCGGGAGCTGAGCACCACGGTGCTCCGAGCGGGGCGGGCGGGAATCTGCGTCTACAAAACCGGTTTCACTCGGAAGCTTCGAAACCCAGCGAAAAATACCGCCCGACAGTGTTCGCTCTGTGCTTGGCGTCAGAACAGTGGCTGTGACGTTACTCCGTGCACAAAGCGTACGTGCCGCTGTGCAAACTTTGTCGTTAGTTCGCCGCATATTCGCTCCATGAGAGTTAGCCTTGAGCCTATCGAACGCCTGCACTGCGAGACACGAGTGTTTCAAATCTGCATGTTTTTGCTGCTATCAAAGAGGAATGAGGACGGCCCGAGCTGCCCTCTTCAGCCAGCGGGGAAAAAAAACAACAACTTGGGCTAACCTTTCGGGAGGAGCCGGCGGCATGACGACCACGGTCCTGCCACCGCCCCGTGCCTTCGGCGCGGGCGAGCTGGGCGTGCTCCGTCGTCCCGCGGGCGTCGAGTAGCGGCACTCCGTCGCGTCGCCGCCGGCACCTGCGTAGCCGCTCGCCTCGTCCTGGTTGCTGCTCGGGGAATTGGGCGACGTCGATGAGACCGCCGATTCCGAAAGAGCCGAAGTCTTCTGCGGGGAGACGTCGACACGTGCGGACCGATTGGACCATCGATCTCCGACAGGTGCTTGTTCGTTTTACTAACACGCCGGAGGGCGTACATCACGTTCAGGGGAAACCGACGATGCGTTCACAGAATTGTGCACATTAAGGTTGCCTGACATGCAGAAGAGGGTAGTCCCGTCAGCTTCATTACCGTTGATCCAAGTATACAGTGCGGGTGCTTGCTCGTGTGCATATTTACAGAGTCACGCATGAGGCAACGAGTGAATCGAAGCACAGGCATATATCAAACTTACAAATAGATTTGTTGTCAATAAAAGAGCAAGGGAGAGAGAGAAAGAGATAAACTCCGGTTAATTGTCATGGCTGCATCTGTGTGGGGTAGAGATTTGAAGTTTTAATAGAGAAAGTGAAAGAGACAAGTAGGACATACAACAGCCAGCAGGTTACAGGGACCCAAGCGATTTCCAAAACCTAATTATATAGATATTAAAAGAATTATTAATGGCGGCTACGAAATACGCTTACACGCGGAAAAGGCGATTTCCCGCGCGTGCCTGAACTCGCTTCTCTTAAAGCGGTGCTCCTCCCAAAGCGTCGGTCGCGCTGCGGAGAAGCAACCGTATAGGATCCGCGGGTCCGCACGCATCAATCGCGCACGTTTCATTGCCGCTACAAGCCACGCGCCTTTCAATTCAAGTGTTATTAAAAAAAAAAAAATCTTTAAAGCAAACTAAAATGTACAGTAAAGCCGGGGTCACACTGCTTATACATCATACAAAAGACAATCTGCGTACAGATAGTCTACGCCTATGCTTGTGGGTTCCCAGCTTCCCCAGCACGTGCTGAACAGCCACGCACTCAGCTATGGCCTCCAGTGAATACCTACAGGAGGTATACCCTGGACGCCATATTTGAGGGCGATGTTTAGAGCGCATGCTCAGTACGAACTTACATTAATAAGCTGCTAAGACCGGCAATCTTGATGGTGCGGAATGCACGTTGCAAAAGAGCTGTGGAAACTCGCCATCAGCACGCGCCCAGCAGTTGCCCACACACCTATGGCAGCCAATGAATACAACCTATAGACGATTGCAAGCAAGGTGACTGGCCGCCGCCGCCATTACCTCCATAAACTCTGCTTTACTCATTACCTCCATAAACACGGCTTTACTCTGATCCCTGTACAGTTGCCTCATAATGATTTCATTAGTTGTGTTCATTTTGTTTTGTGCCGAATTTGGGCTCTTCTAATAATGTTGGTATCGATGGCCACATTACACTCGTTCGATTTTTTTTTTTTTTTATCATGCTGCATTGATATGTATTTCGCTGGATTGTCTGATCCTACGCACAAGCAGGGTACTCCTTTTGTAGGCCAGCATTATTTATATGTATTTGTAAAGTGAATAAAAACTATTATTATTATTATTATTATTATTTCTCTGCTCATGCGGACAAGACCGTACAATTGAAAGCTTGCCAAAGCTATGTTCCCGAAAAGGCCGCACGTGCTTGCGCGAATGGGGCCCCAGTCAGGGCGCCATGCTTGCAATTGTTTGTAGATGCTCCTCCTCGAGTGCGAGTTTTCTGAACTCCGTCGCACTCGCGGCAAATCCCGGCGGAAGGCAACAAGCGCGTGCTGTTAGCGCCGAGATTAAAGCCACTCGATAAAAATCACGCTTGGCACTTCTTACAGGTACGGCCCAACCACTGTTACGCAAACGCGCAAAACACGTGCCACGAGCGGGTGCAAAAGCATCCCATTTAAGTGCTGTGCTGCTATTTTCTTCCAAGTGCTGCACGATACACGAGCCTCGAACACTGGCGCATTTGACGCTACTTGTAAGACAAAAAATATCAAGGGGTTTTTGGCCGAGATGTTTCGGTGGCGCCCTCTTGTGTTATTGTCCACGATGTCACGACCAGCATTTTTCTTGCCGTGACGTCACGAGCTGTGACCCTCGCTACTTTGAAACAGATGCCACGGCATGTTCGATGCCGCGTTTAAAAAAAGCACAGTGGAAGCTAGAAGCCATCGCGTTCTGAAAGCAGCACCGTCGACGTATACAGTCCAACAATGCTCTTATGCCCGTGGTTTGGCCAATCGTGGGTAGCCGACCGCTGGGCCGACAGGCACCCAAGCAAACGAAGGCACACACCTCCGAAGCTGTGTTGGACGCTCCAGTGCCGTCGCTTCCGCGCTGCTGCCAGCTGTCCTCGAGCTTCTTGACGGGCGGCGGCTTGTCGGCGAACCTCCTGTTCAGCTCCGTCGGGGACGCGGTGTTGTCCTCGTTGCTGGACGGAGACCAGAGGTCCTCCTCCCTGTGAGCCGGGGTGCTCCGCTCCACGCCCAGGCGCAGGTGCACGCTGGCCCTGGGACTGCGAGGGCTCTGCTGCTGGAGGGCGCGCACGTTCAGCTCCACGAAGCCCTCCGCCACGGGGTCCCGGTGCTTCGTCCGCCCGGCCACCTTCTTCGCCTGGGGACGGAGAGAGCGCCTTCCGTTTAAGCACGAGCGAGGCCAAAGCTACGGGCGCGAGCATAATGTGATTAGAGGGTTTTAAAACACTGTGAGTCTCCCGAGCAGATTTTGGCCCAGCCCTTCGGAGCATGCGCACTCCGCACTCTCAAGAAAAAAAGGGCGTCCAAAGGTGTATTCTTACACCATTTGTCCCATATAATACACCCCCAAACTTCAATTCGACATTCAGCGCCCTACAGTCGAACAGACGGCCCAAAATTTTAGGAGGGGCTTGATAGCCGTGTGGTACAACTTATTAAAATAGCTAATGTACGTTTTACTGAACACGAAAAAAATAATCCGGGTTTTCTTGGCCCTACTGTAAAAACTCGGTGTTTTCTCTATGTAGTCTTTGATACGTACTTTAGCTATTTAAAATGTTGTACCACACGGCTATCCAGCCCCTCGTAAAATTTCGGGCCCTCTGTTCGACTGTATGGCACTGTACGTCGAATTTAAATTCTGGGGTGTATTATATAGACAAAGGGTGGAAGAATACACCTTTTGACACACTTTTTTTCTTGAGAGTGCGACGCCTCAAGGCACTTGGGGCATGTGTACCGAAATAGTTCAGTGTCAGACCTATCTGAAACCAGCCGGGGTTTACTTGGCAGAAATCAGTTCGTCGAACGAGGTTTCATCGACAGGTCGTATCATCACAAGGTTCCCGCGGTCGCTTCATCGACACACCTTGCGACGTTTCGTTGAAAGCGCATCTTTCCGTGAATCTTCGCTCCAGTCGCCGGCATCCGGCGACTGGAGCGAAGTTTCCCCCAGCGGGGCGAGGGATTCCCGCTTAAAGGGTAACTGCAAAGAGAGAAAAAAAGTGCTTTTTAAACAGCCTAATTGGGACAAGCATGTCACAAAACAAATGTTCCGCGAAAAAAAAAAATTTTTTTAGCAATATTTACGTCACAAGACGTAACTTAGTCGGAGTCAGAATATCTCCACATTTGAAACTCCCGCTCTTTCGACCCCCGCGGAGGAGAACTACGCCCCGCCCCTCACTCTTGCATTTGCTCTTTCTTGTTGACTTGGCTGCTGAGTTGAACAACTGTGAGTTGAACGACGCAGCGTCTCGACTTCCGGTAAGACCAGGCAACAACGCACGCTAAACATGGCGCCGGTACTGTTTTGGTTTGACGAAAAGCTGCGGGGTTTGCGAACACATAGCGAAGACATGACCGGAGAAGTGCCCCCGTGATGTTCCCGGAAGACGGAAATTATCATTCATAATCGTCGAGTGTGCTTTGAAAGCGAAGGGAGTCACAGGGTCCACGAGTGTGCAACCACATGCCAACGTTCACGACAGCGCTGCGTTGACTTCGGCGATCTCGTTCTGTTTGGTGCAACACGGCGATGCGACAAAGAACTGAAACGTTCGTGGTGTGTGTGGTGCTGTGCTTGGAAGTAGACACCCAACACGGAGCGCAAATTGGCTGTTGTGGGATTGAGGTTAAACGGGTTCAGTCCCGTCGTCGTCAGCTGATCCAGTCAAACTGCTCCGGCAGGACGCAGCGAGCGTTTTTAAAAGTAAATCTTCCTTCTTTCCGTTTCAAAATGTGAAAGATTCCCGACGCAACTGTGAGTAAAAAGCTGCGGGCGTTTTCAACAAAATTGCGTCGTTTTAATCGAACAATGAACTCCAAATTGTTGTCCTAAATCTGCCGTTTCTATACTTCGTGTTGGACTGCGTTTGCACAGCGACGTGTTGCACTCATCGTGCGGTGCGAATAAATTTGGGCAAGGTTTCCTACCTGCCCACAGATGCATGAACTGAGACCATTTTTTACGTAATGAACATAGTGCTTTTTTTTTTTTATTTTGGGAAGAGGCGTTGTGCATTTATTACGGTACAATCACTTCAAAATTCAGAAATTGGGGAGGGCGAGCAAGCTTTCCGAACGTTGTCTTTGCTCTCTGGCACTGCCCCTAGTATACCTACTAGCAGGTACAAACTGCTCTATAGCAGGTAAAAGACTGGGAAGTCGGGACGGTGCGGACTTCGTGTTTCGCGCTTTTCGCAAGGTGACTGGGGAAGTACTTTTGCAAGGTATGCGGAATATGCAACCGATTTTGTTATGCCCGTCGTTTGCGTCTCTCCAGCAAGATGAATACGATAATCTACAAAGCCGCGATCACAAGCCAAGACTTACAATAACAGCACATATTCATTCAAACAATTTACGTAAGATGGTTCGAAAGCCGAGAAAAAGAATCTGTCGGCTAACGCAGAATTCGGACGTCCGAGGGCTTCCGGACAGCTATTACGTAATCACCTGGCTGTGCCAGGTTTTTTACGTAACAGCTGTGTCTGGTCGCGGACGTTCGATGCACCCGGGGCACCCGGTGCGAATCTCGACGGCCTCCGGAGCCAGATGACAACAACGTAAATGGGCACGTTTGTCGCTACGCGAACGCTCGATTGCCTCCAGACAAATAGCATTCCTTTCGGGGCGACATGGCTGCTGGAAGGCTCGCTGTCGGGATCCTCAACCGCGCTATGAAAGCCAAAACCCCGCATCGCTTCCTATCACTAACACTTGCGACAGCTGCTAAACACACACTACTTCACTTCAAGAAGTCTCACTCAAGCACCTGGGTCAGCACGAAACACTGATCACTTCGGCGAAACGATTAGTCGAGACAGGCGGGAGCAGAGACTTCAGCGGCCATGAAAGAATGGCGAAGCTTTTGTTTGTTATGGTGTGAATCCAAACGGAAGTGCCCGTCTTGTAAACCTTTTGTAAAGAACAATAACTCCCATCACATGGGTTATTCTTTAAACGTAAAAATATGCCGCTCAAAAGGAAATTGCACCATATAACGAGGGTTTAACAACCAAGATCTAAGCTAGCTGTCAATCAAACTCTTAGCCAATGAGAAGTATAGATGCCGATTGGGATTCAACGTCACAGAATCCCAACTTCGTGGCGCGCGATTTAAAACGGGCGAAATAGCCGCAAACTAAAATCAGTCTCACGCAATAAATATTGCTGTAAAAAACTTCTTTTCTCGTGAAAAAATTGTTTCTTGACATGCTTGTCCCAATTAGGCTGTTTAAAAAAAACTTTTTTTTTCTTTGCAGTTACCCTTTAAGGCTTAAGACTCATGTATGTGTTTTTGCACTACCGGAGCCGCCTGGGTGAGTCCGCTTTTGTTCCGGTACTCTTCCAGCGCACGATGTGAATCGGTAATCCATTCCAACCAAAGTAGTACAAAAAAATGAAAGCCGTTTACAAATCCCTCTAACGCCGAATGGGAGCGCAGCTCTTGAGGAGGAGTAGGGAAGGGTACTGAGGGGGGGGGGATCACGTGACCTTGGGGGGGGGGGGGGGTCACGTGACCCCCCCCCCCCCCCCCCGGTTACGCCGACGCCGACGCCGCTCAGGCTGGAAATGGGCCCCTAAGAGCTGCGCTCTAAAAATACGTTGTCGACGGAACGTCGCTGAAGCATGTGTCCACGAAACAAGTTTCCACTAAAGATCGCAGTGTCAACGAAACGTGTCCATAGAAAGTTGTCCACGAAACGTGCTTTTATGAAATCTGTTTCGACGAAACGATGCGGACCTGGGTTTAATTGCTAGAAGCAATTAGCGTGAACTGGGAAATAAAATAAACATGTACCGCCTCACAGTAACGAATGCATGGCATACCACTCCCAATCGCGAAACTTCATGCCTGGGAAATATTCTGGGGATAATACGGGCGTTTTAGTTCCCTTAAACTCGCAAAAAATACGAAGAATCTGTCGCTCAACAAATAATATCGACGTGTCGGACATCTTGGGAAGTCTCGTAGGTGGAGACAGACTTTCAAGCGAGATCTCGTCCAATTTCGTTCTTCCGTAAATTTCCACCGTTTTTGCCAAACTGCGTTTAGAACAAACTTCTTAACCGCCGTTAAATAAATAAAAAAAAGTTATAACAGTTGAAAAGTTCTTTTCGCCAATGTGCCACCGAACAAAACGACCCGTCACTGCAAACGCGATCGCAGAACGATCAGACGAAAACGCCACCGTTTTCCTTTTGGTTTTCTTTTTGGCTCATCGCGTCAGCGGTTTCACTCTTTGGAGCTTCGGGAGACAAGCTGGACAGCTTGTCCAAATCCCGGACGGTTGGAGCAGTGCCAACGGGGCTACCACTCCGCACGTAGATTTCTCATTCTGCAAGACTCGAAAGCAAGTGGACACGACACGTTTCCTTACATTGAAGAAGAAAAAAAAAAAAAAACATTTATGTGCGGAGAAAAGAAAGAAAAAAAGAGTGGGTAGAAGTATTCGAGCGACATGAGTTTTATTACTTTTGTGGTGGACAGTGATAAAAGCATTTAATATAAACTCGGTGTTCGTTGTCGTCGTAGGATAAACATGCTTTCCGGAGAATTATCTGTACATTATAATCGGAACTTTGAGACAAGGAGAAATAAACGAAAAACAAGCAGACCGTTATTTTCGTCCGTTACTTTATTTCTCCTGGTCATATGAATCACAATTATGATGTTTACTAACCAGTTCGGCTGGAGAGCTAGAGAAAAAAAAAATCAAAACGGGAGTACATGCAACGCAACGATCTTTTTCAAACAGGATAGTGTTCGTTTTTTTCATTTTACTTCTTGGACAAGCCCCATATTCATAGGAGGCATAGGGTAACCTCACTACCGATGCCGCACTATAACGCACGAAGAAACTACAGCACTCTCAACAGGTTGATTGAACGGAAGTATATTTCTGGGGACACCAATTTCATTACGCTTGCCGACGAAATTATTACGATCAGTCGATCGCTACTCCAACAATATGTCTTCCGAACTCCTGTCTAGAACCATGATTACATCGGGACTTGCGCTCTACAACGCACAAAACAGTTTACACCAAAAAAAAAAAAAATTATAGCCCACCCTCGACGCATTTACACACCTATACACGTACCAACGACTCAAACGGTGTTTCGTAAGGA